AAATTAACAACTAAACCTAAAGATGAATTCTTAGATATAATTAAATATAAACCATTAAAAATCCTAAACAAGAAGATAAAACTTTAATTTTAAATATATTAAAATAATTAAAACATATGAATTATTGATTTAAATAACCCTTATAAGTAATACTTAATGTGATAAAAATGTTTTTGAAATAAAGCTTTTGAAGATAAGTGGTTATGTTACATCTTCATTTTAGATAAATATTTAAATGATGTAATGAGATCATTTTCTAAAAATTATCTTATGAAGAATTTTTATTAAAAATAACACTTGAATTAAAACTAGGGTGTGAAATTTAAATTTTTTATTTAAAGAGAGGGAAATATGAATAATATTTTATTTGCATATTTTAACCGGGGTGGCCTAATGGGTAAGATGTACGATTGGAAACACGAGTATGAACAAAGACGCTGGTTCAATCCTGGTAAAGGAACAAAAACTTTCAAAGTTTTTCTTCGATAACTGATGTGTAAAGACATATGGTATGATGAATTTCGGAGCTAAGAGATGACACCCCGGTCACCGACAGGCCTGGACAGCCGGGTGCTAAGGATACCTGTCCAATAAACAAAATGACAGAAATAAATGGAAATGAATATAAAAGCTAGGGCGTTCCCTCCATGCGACGCGCAGGGTGTAGACCTCCTTCCTGTGAAAAATAAAGTAAAGGTCAAAGCAAAGAAGACAAGACTGACAAGTTTGAATATTGGGACGCTTAAAGGTAAGACGAGAGAATTGGCATCAATGTTGAACAAGATAAAAGTTGATATAGCGTGCATACAAGAGACGAAATGGAAAGGACAGAAAACTTTGATGATTGGAGATGGGTATAAATTGTACTATAATGGACTTGTTAGCAATAGGAACGGTGTCGGCATCATCCTCAGCCAAGACCTAACCTCTTCAGTAGTAGAAGTCAACAGGATCTCTGATAGACTAATGAAGATAAAACTCTGCATTGGTCAATCAATACTACACATCCTATCAGTATATGCTCCTCAAACGGGTTGCAAGGAAGATGAGAAAGATGACTTTAGAGCTATCCTTGATGAAGCTGTAATGGAAATCCCTAAGGATGACTTAGTCATAATTGGTGGTGACTTAAATGCGCATGTGGGGAAAGCAAGAGATAGCTACAAAAGGCATCATGGTGGTTTTGGATGCGGAGAAAGAAATGATGAAGGAGAGCACGTACTGAAATTTGCGCAAGCCTTCGACCTTGCCTTAACCAACACCTACTATAGGAAAAAAGACAGTCATTTAATAACATATGAAAGTGGTACTAGGAAAACACAGATAGATTACATGCTAATCTCTCGCAGAAGATTAAAAGATGTAATAGACTGCAAAGTCATCCCAGGAGAAGATATCGCCGCGCAACACAAGCTACTAATCATGGATTTACAAATCTCAAATAAATCCACTCAAAATAAGATAAAACTGGAACCATGCATCAAATGGGGCAAATTAAAAACAATAACAGATGCCTTTGCAATCAATGCAAACATTGAAACAATAAATTGCTCACAAGTCAGTGAAAAAATCTGGACAGACCTTTCATCCAGATTAATAGACACTGCAAAATCGACGCTAGGCTTGACAAGAGGAGGCAACAAATCACACAAAGAACTATGGTGGTGGAATCAAGAGGTACAAACCACTAAACAGGACAAAAAAGCCCTTTATAAAATATGGTACAAATCCAAAAATGCAGATGACAAGTCAAGATACAAAAATTCCAAGAGATTAGCTATAAAGGCGGTGGCTAGGGCCAAATCTATGGCATACGATGACATGTACAAAGATCTACATACTAAAGAAGGGCAAAATAAAATATACAGATTAGCCAAACAGCGAGAAAAGAACTCTAGGGATATAAACGGAGCTCCGAAAGTAATCAAAAATAAAGATGGGAAATTGATAATAAAGGAAAAAGAAATAATGAATAGATGGAAAGAATATTTTCAGCAGCTTCTCAACTTTAATTCCCACATATTGCATCTCGACGAACACTCCCCTTGTCAAAACCTTGTACAACCTATAACAGAACAAGAAATAATCACATGCCTCAATCATATGAAAAACAACAAAGCTAGGGGTCCAGACGATATTCCAATAGAAAGCCTTAAAGCACTAGGAGATGATGGAATACATCTCCTCACAAATCTGTACAATAAAATACTTGGAAATGAAGAGGTTCCCCAAAAATGGAGGCAGAGCTATCTAGTTTCTATCTTCAAAAATAAAGGGGATCCACACAATTGACAAAATTACAGGGGCATAAAACTAATGTCACACTGTCTAAAACTATACGAAAAAATAATAGAAAAAAGATTAAGAGATATAATCGAAATAGGAGAGACACAGTTTGGCTTTATGCCTGGAAGATCAACAACCGATGCTATCCATGCAATTAGGCAGATGAGTGAAAAATACAGGGAAAAGAACAAAAAGCTACACATGGCCTTTCTCGATCTAGAAAAGACCTTCGATAGAATCCCAAGAAAACTTATCTGGTGGGCGCTACGCCACAAAAAAGTTCCCGAAAAATATATAAGAATAATACAGGATATGTATATGGGACATACAACAATGGTCCGTAGCACAACAGGTACTTCAGCAGGCTTCACAATAGCCAAAGGAGTTCATCAAGGGTCGGCTCTCAGCCCACTTCTCTTCATTACAGTAATAGATGTATTAGCACAGTCTATACCTCAAACAGTCCCGTGGAATATGATATTTGCAGATGATATTGTGATACTTGCCGAATCCAAGGATGAAATGAAAGAAAGGTTAGTGAATTGGATAAATATCCTAGAATAGCACGGATTAAAAGTAAATAGAGAAAAGACGGAGTATATGGTGATAGGAGGAGATGAAACGGAGAGTATTGATATAAATGATTGGCAGATATCCGCAATTGAAAGCTGCAAATATTTGGGCTCCACTATACAAACAAACGGCACAATAGAAAAAGAGATAAAGAGTAAGATGAATCAAGGGAGCTTAAAGTGGAGATCTTTATCTGGAGTGCTATTTGACAAAAGAATCCCACACAAATTAAAGGGAAAAATCTACAGTTCCATAGTACAACCAACTATTCTATATAGTTCGGAAACATGGCCAACCAAAGAATCAGACGAGAGAAGTCTACAAACTATGGAGATGAGAATGCTGAGGATGATTGCTGGGGTAACAAGAAAGGATAAGGTGTGCAGTACAAGAATACTAAATAGTTTAAAGGTAGTGCCCATTAAGACTAAGTTAATGGTAAACAGACTTAGGTGGTATGGGCACACAATGAGAAGGCCTATGAACTACATAGGAAATAAAGTTGAAAGTTTGGAAGTGATGGGCAAACGTAAAAGAGGAAGGCCAAAACTTCAATGGGGCCATAAAGTTAGAGCCAATATAAAGAAGTATAAAATAGATAAAGGAGATTGTATGAATAACATAAAGTGGAGAGAGATGTTGAAGGAGCTTACCACCAGAAAAGGTGAAAGCTAAAAGAGAAAAAAAAAATATTTTAACCTTTGAGATTGAAAATAAATAAAAATAAATTAAATAATAAAACGCAAAAATTAATTAAACACTAAAACGCGAAAAAATAAAAGTTATTAAAACGCGAAAAATTAAAACGCTAAAAAATATAACAATCTTATTGATTTATCATTCTTCACTTATTTTTATATTTTGATGAACTATTATTTCTTATTATTCGCAACTTACTGATGATAATAACGATTTTGAAAAATGATAATAATAACAATGTCACGATTTGTAAAACATTCGATATGGATATCAAGCTCACGATTAAAACAAAAACGAACAAACAACGATTTGGACAAGCCAACGATTAGTGACTTATGCAACATTGACAACCAAAACGATAAACCACTTGAACAACAAACTCTCCATGACTTCTTAGATGAAATTATGGGAAGGCTTGTAGAAGAGGGAGAATGTTACATTATAGGAATTTATAAATTAAAATATTGGTTATTGAATAGTATTTTAATTTTTATATTGCATACATTCATTATATTTTTATTTGGTTAGGAATTCAAATTCAACTTGTATTATTTTTTATGAATTCAAATTTATCTTTTCAATTCAACTTTTTATTTTTGTAATTCAACTTATATTATTACTTATTATTTTTCGTAACCTTACTTTTTGTTTTTATATATATTCTAATTTATATTTATAGGAAATATATATACCTTAAGAAAAGAGAAAGAAGTTAGTTAATAAAATATATTTTTACTGACTAGCACCTCGCGCCATATCGTTAGTGACTTTATTCTTTTCAGAATGACATCTAAAATAATTGAATAATTTCCATATTTTGAATGAATAGTTTTAAATAATGTAGCCGTAAATTTCGTTATATTAATTTTGTAATGTAGTATTAAAGTTAAGTTATTTTTTTTCAATAATATTGATTACATAAGAATGACATCTAATAATTGAATAATTTCGAAATTTTGAATGAATATTTTAAAATTTTGACGATAAATTGTAAAAAATATTTATAGCATTTTTAAGAACAGTTGTTAAATGATTTTGGTTAAACTCCAGTACCACCGATTAAAATATTTATAGCATTTTTAAAAACAGTTGTTAAATGATTTTGGTTAAACTCCAGTACCACCTATTTATTTTACCAGATTTTGTTCAGTAGATTTAAAAATTTTTTGTGGGCAAGTGTGAATTTTTTTTTCTGGGGGGGGGGGGGGGGTATATGGCTAATGTTTTACTTAAATAGGCAATCGGGTCTGGTAGAATTAACATAACTGTTTTCGATTTTCACAATTGAATCATATATAAGGAAAATCTAATGATATATTAGTCCTTATAATCCAATTATAAAAGTATATGTCATCGTGCCAACATTTTACCGCTTTTAACTGGGCAACTATAATGTAAAATTTATAAGTGCAGAAAAGTTGTATAGCATTCATACAAGCATCTATCCAATTCAAAAAAATTTTGTTCTTATCCTTGGCCAAATTTTGATGAATTACTTGTCATGTTTAAAGACTTTAACCGATAAAGTTTTTATTTATAAACATCATTACATTTTTTTTTTAAATTAATAATTAAGGTCAAACCAACATTTGAATCTGTAAGGACTGATTTAAACGAGATTAAAGAATATATATTACCAATATCCAATCATACAAATAATTATATTCAAGATACAACTAATTTTGCAAAAAAACATGTATATTATTATTTTTTTATAATTTATGCTCATGACTAGATATTGAATAATATATATGAAAGTTCTCGAGTTCTGAAAGAAGGTATTGATACAATATGGAATGCCCATATTGATTCAACTGCTGGTGATAATAAAAATTCTATATGGGATAAGAAAAAGGTTTTTCATTGTTATAAAATAAAATATGTTCAAATGATAAAAAGTTTTAAACTAAAATGAATTTTAATATTATCTGAATATAATATTTACTACAAAGTTAAAGGCTATTATTTTCTCAAATTACATTAAATTTTAATTACTCTAAAGGCTCAGACATACAAACCAAAGATTATGGTTTGAATCCTGAGTGATTTTGTTTATTTTAATATTATCTGAATATAATGTTTAATACAAAGTTAAAGGCTATTATTTTCTCAAATTACATTAAATTTTAATTACTCTAAAGGCTCAGACATACAAACCAAAGATTATGGTTTGAATCCTTAAAGAGTGATTTTGTTTTAATACTTTGTTTATGGGTTTTTTTTAAATAAACTTTAATTTATAAAATTTTACCATATCTACTTAATTATTGGTATTAAGAGTCCTAACTAGAATCATGAACACTTTTTTTTACATATTTATTATTAAATAGTTTCAAGGATATTGGAGGTATGTTTTGGCAAGTAGTATACCATGTCCAGAATGAATTCCATTATAAATTTAACCTTTGATGTTTCTTATATTTATGTCTTAACGTATTTGTAATGATATAAATATTTATTTTATTTAGGCTACATTGATTCAAATTCAAGAAACTGAACAAACATTTTTACAAGATTATTCTGATGATTCTAACTATCTCCAATGGGAGAAAGATTACAAAACTAATACCAATCAAAATAACCAAATATTATTAGAATATCCTCATTTGAAGAAATCCTATGAAAACTTAGTTAAAACATTTTTTTTGAATATATCATAAGCTATTAAATATGTCACTGATTATAAGAAAATAGGGTTACCATCTGTATGAAATTTAATTTTAGCATAGCATGCCTCAATCATACATTTAATACATAAAGAAGAAAGTGTTAAATCACTTAATTTATCTGAGACCACACTACATAAATCAAAAGAAACCTACTACATTCTTAAATGATGAAAGCTTAAAATTTTCTTTTTGAATAATTAACAAATATTTATTTGAACATGCACTTTATGTTCTTATTAAAATGTTGCAATTAAATTTTTGAATATTTATTTTTACCGAAGTTTGGAATTTGGAACCCCCTTAAAATTTTTAAAAAATCTCAAAAAGGGATTTAAATTTAATATTGTTAAAAATAACATGTTCATATAAAGGTTTTATTTAATATTTAAATTTCAGACATCTTCATAGGCAGGAAATTTAAGCCCTAATTTTATTTTATTTTCAGCCTAGCTTGGATTTTTGATTATCTTATGGCCCAGCCAAAAAAATATGGCCATTTATTTATATGGGTTTGTATTTTACAAATTGTTCAAAGTGGAATTGAAAATATGAGAAGTATATAAATCAGAGACCTGCAGGCCCGGCCCTAAACCTGGCCGTATTTTAAATTTTTTAAACATACCCGGGCCAGGCCTAAAAAAATTTTTTTTAAACATATCCGGGCCAGGCCTAAAATATTTTTTTTTAAATATATCCGGGCCAGGCCTAAGATTGTTAAACCCGGGCCAGGCCTTAATATTTTTTATAAAAATTTTTACATTATGAGTTAATGGTTATAAGATTACATTATATTATAGTTATGATTAATATAATATTGGGTGATGGTTAACACTACCTAACACCCACATATCGATCTAATTATTAATTTCCTGCAAATTTATTCAAAGTATTAATATATTTTTTTATAATTCATATCTAAATTTTTACAACATATTTTACCAAAACAATCAAATAAAGGAATATCTTAAATAAGCCCCAATATTCAAGTATTATTAATATATTTTTTATAATTCATATCTAAATTTTTAGAATATATTTTACCAAAACAATCAAATAAAGGAATATCACTTCTTGAAGTTTGTAATACCTTTCAAAGCGAAAAAGGAGAAACAAAATTGATTTTACTTAATATAAAGCATTTTTTAATTGAAAAATTTGTTTTACACAAGTATCATTTTATTTCTCTTTTTCTCTGTCCCAAATTCAAGCAATTACGTATGTAGTCAGGGACAGATCGCAAGATGACGGAAAACTATATAAAAGATTATATTAAATTACAAGAGGCTCAGGAAGTAAATGAAATACCATCGACCAGTCAAATTACGACTGTTGTTAAACAAACTGAATCGTTTTATGACAAATGGGGCGATGGTAATTCTGGTAATATGTCAATACCCGATGATGAATATTATAATTACATAAATAAAAAAATAGATGAAACATTTAAGGTGGATAATTTGTTAGAGTGGTGGGCGGCTCATCAAAGCGAATTTCCAATTTCAAAATTGGCAAAACGGGTATTGGCAATTCCTGCTTCAAGTGCAAGCTGTGAGCGGAATTTTTCCACTACTGGGAGAATTCTTGAAGAAAGAAGAAGTAAACTTCAACCTGAAAAGGTAGATATGCTTCTCTTTCTTCATGATAATTTGTGAATTTTTAATATCTTTCTTGAGTATAGGGTTTCGTCAATCATGCTGGTTTTTTACTTTGCAAACTGTCAAATATTTATTGCATTTATTATATTTACCTTGAGTCATGAAAGTTTTTAATCCAACATTTTTCATTATTTTTTTACAATATTATATAATACAATTATCTTCTTTTGTTAAAAATTTATATTATAAAATTAATTATATTAATATTTTCAAAATACTATTTATTATACATGCATTTTTTTAAATAGCGATTTATATTTATTTTATAAATTAAATAGTAAATTAAATACAATATATTATATTCTCAAAATATTTTCCATTTTTATAAATTAAATATTAGTTTTATTTTTTTAAAATGCAATATAAAATATAGTATATGAAAATATTATTACCATTTTTATGAATATTAGTTTTATTTTTATAAATGCAATATAAAATATAGTATATGCTCAAAATATCCATTTTTATAAATAACAGTTTTATAAATTCAATATAATATTCTCAAAATATTAGCTTTTTACATGTATTTTTTAAATAATAAGCGATAATACTCGCTGAAAAATATGGTAAAATACCTCATAGGTGAATTTTTGTATATACCAGGTCGAATATAATTTTAAAAAATTCCGAGTCGGGTCTGAATTTTTTTTTAAAAATATCCGGGCCGGGCCCTAAATTTTTAAATCCGGGCCAGGCCTTAAATTTTTAAATCCGGGCCGGGACGTAAAAATTTTTAAATCCGGGCCGGGACGTAAAAAATTTATAACCGGGCCGGGCCGTGCAAATGGTACCTCTGCAGGTCTCTGATATAAATATTAAGCCCTTCAAATATATCATATTCCAATTGATATAATTTAAATTTATTTTTTAAATGACTTTAAAAATCATACCATTTTTTCATAGGTCTCTGATTTCAATTTTTTGAAAATATTTTTTATAAAAATACTTAATTTATAATTTTGTTATTATAATCAGTGATTTAAACTGTAACAAATACTAGTTCAGATTCGATATGTAAATAATAACATCAATTTGGTTTGAACATCATGAAAAGAAAGGGATATTTTTTAAAATTTTGTCACTCTTCTCAAAAAATAATATTGAGTCATAAACAATTAAAATTAAGATTCCTTTCTCTCAGACAATATTTAAGGAGAAAGGAATTGTTAACTTAAATGCATCGTCAAATAGCAATATAGAAAAATAATTACTGATTATTTATCACATTGTGCGACATATCAATAAATGATATAATTTTTTTTTAAAAATTTATTTTTGTCTTTAAAGAACCCTTACTTAATAAACTAAAAATAATTTTAAAATTAATTTTTTTTAAACTATAAAAATTTTTTAGTGTGTGTATTTAAATGCTTGGAAAAAGTATTATATTTTTCCAATTTCAAACCTATTACAAAATAAACACATAATTTTATTATTTGATAAATAATTTTCATGAAATAATTTAAAACATTCTTTTTTTTGAAATAAAACAATAATATACCACATTTGTACAAATCACTTTTCTAACCAATTTACACCAAGGGTTTTTGCACCACGCCTTTTTACTTTATTAATTATCACCCCCGTGTGAGATTTTTCTTTATATTTGGTGTCAATTGATATTAGTTTTTTTTTATGTTAGCGTTCACATTTTTTTTACACTTACAGAGTATCTCTGCTATTGAAATTTTAAATGTTAATAATGGCATCTGTTCTTTTCGGTAACTTTAAAGCTACAAAATCTCATCTATAAATTAACCAAGAATTTAAGAGCATCATATCAAGTATATGGAATACTATACGTTGATATCATTTACGTGATATTATATGAATTCGATATAAAGCAATCAATTAATCCTTTAAATCTACACCTCCCATATTTTTATTGTAAACATACAGATGCTGGACAAAGAATTTTGTCGTTCCTTAAAATGGAGCGAAGCTTTTATTTGTTCCCATCTTTTCTGGCACATTACATTAGCAACAGATGGTTACCTGTATTTGCTGACCAATACAGTCTTGATCTTGGAAGTTTTAAAATGGACATATAAAAAATAATACATATAAATTGCTCTAGTTCATTTTTATAGAGTTAGGATTTTTTTGAATGGCATACATGTTGGATTGCACAACTATTATATCAAATATCTTCTCGAGTTGGGTTCATAATATTTACTGACATATATTCTTTTCCCTTCCATATGGGAATCATAATGGGCTTATTGTTTTTAGAATCTTTTCATTTAATTTTTCTATAATCTTTCTGAGTCATTATTGTTTGCTCATCACTATCTGAATCACCTAAAAATATATAAAAAATTGCATTTTATAATTTACCTACAGCATCAACATCTCCTGATCTTGAATCAAGAATTTCTTCATCTGATGAACCACTAAGGTTAGAATTAGAACTATCATATGTAATACAGTATATTTTGACTTTAGATAGCAAATAAAGAAATTTAATAATATAAAATATAATAAAAAAAAGCCCAAATTCATATTGCATTTGTGCACATTGTGTATCTGGGTATACGTACCTTAAAATTTAAATTTTAAGCACTATTCATGAATATAACAATATATTTATATATAAAACATTTCTTTTACCTTTATTTAATAGTATTTTTAACTTACCGTTCCTTAATAATTTGTACAAGAGAAATTATATAATTTATGAAATGGAAAATGCAATTATTTGAACTACGTATTATAGAATTTTTATCTTGATAGCTGTCTTTCATTTTTGACAAAATTAACTATAGAAATAAATAAAAGATATGTGTATCTATTATATATTATATGTATTAAACTGTAAAAATTTTTACGTTAAAATTTTTACCTTTTTTATGGTATGTGTATTCAAATATGATGTGTGCATTAGAGGGTTAAAATTTTAAAAGGTTCAAACCGTTTACAGGTATTCCAAGAAGTTAGGTTTGGATGACAAATTTTTACCATTTCAGATTTAGTTAATAATAACTGTTAATATGGGTTCAGGTTTGAATCCACGGTTATAATCAGGGATCCGAACCGTTAAACCGGTATTTTTTATCGAACCTAAACCTCTAAAAACATTTCTAGCCAAACCTGAACCGGTTCGAGTCTCATAATTTTATGTTTATAAAATAATGTGGAAGTTATTACTAGTAGTATATTGCAAAAATTTTAATTATATTCAAATTTTTTGAAAAATTATTAATTTTTATAAACTTTAGTATATTGCCATTTACAACATTTTTTAATATTTTAAGCTTATATATTATAATGTCTAGAAAAAAATTAAATCTAATATATAAATTATTTACATATCGTATTATAAATAACACATCAAATCTGATATCATACTGGCTAGTGAAGGTCAACGGTCCGGTCCTATCGGTCTTAGACCGGGATCGGACCGGACCGATCTTTTTCTTGAAGACCGTGGTCCGGACCGGTCTTTTATTATTGTTTAAGTTTGCTTTACTATACAATTAATATAATTTTTTTGTATATTTTATTTTATGATATTTTTCTAGAGGAGTCATTTTAGATTTTGTTAATTTTTATTTTACAATATGAAAACCATAAGTTTGTCCAAGAAACATTTTACTTATAGTCCCAATAAAAACATAGAGTATGTGTTTACTGCAGTACCAAATTTAATGTATCGTCAGCACCTAGTAACAAAATAATTGTTTATAATTTTTTAAGCAATAAATTAATCAAAATAGGCAATAATATTATTAAAATATTTTAGTTATTATATAGTTCTATTTTTTTAAAGAAACTGTCTGTATAATTTATTGTAAAAATTACTTAACCTTATTCTTAATAAAATAATTAGGTACCTTAAGCAGACATCTGATAAAACATAAAATATATACTTCTAGATGAAAATGAAAATATCTCAAAAAACACAATCTACTCTTAATTTTAATATGCCCTCTACAAGCACAAAATCATTTTTTTCAATACCATTGGATAAATTTTATTGTTTATATAATACTCTTATATTTAATAAAATGATAAAACAAATCAAATTAGGTTAAAAATATGTTTTTTAAACAAATAAAAAGACCGGTCCAGGATCGGTCTTTTTATTTAGGACCACGGTCTGGATCGATCTTTTTCTTAAGGACCGTGGTCCGGTCCGGTCCGAGGGTATCGGTCCAGTCCGGACCAAAGACCAGACCGTGACCTTCACTAATACTGGCAATGCCAGCTACCCAAGTTAGTGTGGAAAAATGTTTTTCAACAATTAAGTTTATATTATCTCCTTATAGATGTAATTTGAGTGAGATGATTTTGAAAATATATTAAATGTGCGGCTTAATAAAAAAAATTTAAGTAATTGTTCATATTAAAATTAATCATTGATATATTTATTTGTTATATTTATAAATTAAATATTATTTTATAATGTGCAAATAATAAAAATGAAGGTTTTTATTTTAATTTTGAAATAAAAAAAAAATTTCCTTTTACATAATCCTAATGTAAGTTTGAATACAAATGTGTTCAAACCGGTTTTTAGAGGTTCGAACTGAACCGATATTTTTATTTTTTGCGAACCGAACCTGAACCGTAATTTTTATCCGAACCTGAACCGAACCGATATTCGTTTCGGTTTGGATCCCTGGTTATAATACCCATTTTCTGAAAAAAATAATTTTATCTTTTCGATTCAAGGCTATTTGAAACTTAATTTTCTGGGACTATTATAGAAGCATGCAGAGTTTTAGGCCACAAATCTACTCGCCTATTGCTTTTATTTTCAATAACCAAAGCCAGATCTGCTTTTGAAAAATATTTAGAACTGGAATCCTTTCTTAATAATGAAATATTTTTTTAATCTTAAAGCAAAATAATATTTTTTAAATGATTTTTAGAATAATATTCATAACTAACTTTTTGTTTTCAAACCTTAATAAGAGCTAACTACGGCACTGATTCCCACCCATAAACATTTAAAATATTTTTTGAAAATGTTTGCCAAAATCTTATATACATATAAAAGTCGCATAAAATTATTTAAATGTTTACCTTTGATTTTAAATTAATTTTTTTTCCTTAATTATTATTATTATTTTAGGTGCCAAATAAGGTAAATGATACCGATTTTTGGAAAAAATATGATTACAAGGTTCATTTATTGGAAGAAGACGAGAAAATGCGGCAATCACTTTTATTACGCGCATCCACGTCTCTTAAAGACGATTTAGCATGGGATGGAAACGAAGGTTTTTTTTAATTGAAATTTTTTTTAAAATAAAATTTGATAGGAGGCAAAAATATATATTGCAAGGTAGATTCATTATATATTATTTTTATAAAAGCCCATGATTATTTTAAATGTCAGAATATTTAAAAATGATTTCTTAAATAAATTAATGTTAGATGATTGGGAAATAACTTCGTCACTAATATCAACCCCGGAAATCATATCTCCCGATCAAGAACACTCAGTCAATAATTCTAACATCACTTTAATAGAAGATGAGATAGAAGGAGACGATAACAATATTGTGAAAATTGACAAGCTTCTCGAGATACATAATTCTGCCTTTGCTAAAAATGCTGCCACTAAATCGACAAAATCTGCCATAGAAAATTTATCGTCTTCAAATAAACTCGAACCACTAAACATAGATATTAAAGAAGGCAAAAACTCTACACCCCTTAATAAAAACAAGGCTAAGAAAAAAGATTCATCACATGCGGATTGACATGATGTATAAACCTTTTCTACCCCTTCTTTTATTTGGAAAAAGCGTTAAATGTATTTGTATTTATTCTAACAAAATTATAAACAAATTTGTTATAGCATGTGGCAATTTTTTAAAATAATATATTTCTCAAACCTGAAAAAGTGGGTCATAAATAAATAACCAACAAAAAATAGCCTTATTTTTGATAGGATAATACTAATATAATTATATACCTTATAAATTTTAATTGGGGGTATTTATATATTTTTAAATGATCAATACAATTTTACCATAATTAGTTAATATTTTGATTTAAAATCTATTTATTATGCACAAGAATAATATTTATATTAAATTTTTACAATGTTGTTTAAAAATTATTTATATAATAATAATTATGATAATTGAGAGTTTATGTTCGGTATTATAAGCTCACATCACATTATTTTGTATATGAGATCAATTATCAATTTTTTTTTAGAAAGGCGGTATATTTTCTTGCTTGTATTCCTCGTAGTTCAAAGGATTCAATAAAGATATTATCATGCTTTAGTATAGAATATATTAAATTTTAAAAATGAATATGTGGTGTATCATTTACACATGTTCTCTGTAAAATAAATAGGCCATGTATGAATGACACATGTTTTAATTAATGAGTGCAGTTAATTATCTTGACCACGTTCTTAAATGTTATTTAAAATGTTATATATTGGGCATTATTTATCAACGCGGAATCGTCTAAGGTTGCGTATTGATAGCGTTGGTGACTTAATCAATCTTTTTAGATATTAAAGCATAACAACACAATATATAGCTTATTCATTAGAAAACCTTTATCGTGATTCTATCAAAAAAATACATTTATATTAAAAAATCGTACAACCAGTTATTAAGCTGATTTTAAAGGTACTTACTAAAATATTCTTCAAAAAACTTAATTATTTTTTTATAGCATGATTTTCATGAAGTCAAATGCGAAATGCAAAAAACTGAGAATATTTCTTTATAAAATGTATCGTATCCACCCTAACCCTAAACTGGTACCAGATCTTACATTATTTCAATTATTTAATTGGGCCCAGTACTGGATTAAAAAATTTTTTTTAATTAATTCCTATACATAAAATATAAATCTAATTCAATAAAATATATTTAAATTTATTAGCATATCTTTAAAAGTAGAATTAATCTAAATAATCGACAGTATTCAATATTTTATTATTTAGGGATAATTTCTTGTAGGAATGTAGATATTTTACTACAGTAGCGGGCTGATAATTTGTCTTTTTCTAAATATCGGCTGGTATTATTAATTTCCCCACCCGATAAAATGGCGTCTTAATTTAAAATTTTACAGTATTATTTAATATTTATGACAATATATTTATTAATTTAAGAATATTTTTATATAATTGTAGTGATAAATTTTAAAAAAACTAACTAAATAATTAAAAATATGCTAAAAGAAATAATAAAATACATAATTTTTTTTATAATGATGTTTACGATTTTAAAACAAAATAAATAATTTTTTAAAAATTTACATTTATCATGAATAGACTAGATTGGATACTACTTTCTACAAGATAGAAATATTTTTTGGAACAAAAAAGGATTACAACGATTTTACTATACAAATAACAATAAATAATTAATTAAAATTTGATAATAAATTTTAAATGACATATGTTATGGTTATAGTATAGTCTAATTTCATGTGTTATAACTTCTTTGTTTATTAATGTCACATGTTAATATGAAATTAAAGCCAATTTTTTTCTCTTACGATAGACCTCTAAAGATTTTTTCTACAACAAAATAATGTATATATTTTATTTTATTTAAATAGTTGTTGATATAAGCTATTTAGAAATTTTACAGTTGTGAAACTCGTAATTTTTCGCACCTTCCCCGTATCTTGGCAGGTGTATATGAAAAATACAAAATTATAAATAATATTCAAGAGCTCTAAACTTGATTGCACATATTTTATTAATATTCATTAACTCATACATCAAACCACTATATATAACTCTGACTATGAAACAGAGTTTGAAATGCTCTTCAAAATAAAAAATTATCAAAGATTTTTTTTGAGAATCTTCAATCAGGATTTTGATCAAATTTAATCTAAAATTCCAAATATTATTTCTAAAAATCTCACAAATAAATTTTTTGTGATTTTTATGATCTTAGATTTTATGTAAATTTAGGGCAGAAAAAATTTCTTTGTTTTTATACTCTGCCCTGCCATGAAATAACAATAATCTCTAATAATATAACTAATTATATTTCCAAATGTTATGGTCTAATTTTGTGAATAAAAATAAGAAAACACCTAATGCATGATAATATTCAGAACTTACCATAATAAATTTATGCTACTAATAGTCACATTACTAAATATAAAAAAAAATATGATTTCTTTCTACCTAAAAAAATCTAAAATTCATTTAGGTATAAAATATTTGAATATTCATTAGCTCACTAATAAATGTTAAAGATAAATACTCAAGAGATAAAATGATAATTCTAATCTTTGAATGTAACCCTTTTTTATAGTATTTAATTACAAAAATATTGTATATTTGTTATAATTTTATACTTGTCTACAGAGTTGGGCAGTAACGCGAATACTTGTATCTAAGATACAAGATCCTTTTTTGTATCTTGTACTCAGTATCTATTTTACATTTTTAATAAGATATTAGTATCTAAGATCCTTTATTCTGAAAAGAATCTTGTATCATTTTCTTGACAACAGATTTTTTTAATATTCATGTTTAAAATTTTACATACACAGTATATATCTCATTTTCTTTGAGAAACTTGTATTAATTTCCTTATTTATTTCCGCCATATTTTAAATATAATGGCAACAAAATTAGCTGGAAAATTTATAACTAAGGCAGATAGATAAAAATTAACAACACCAAAACGAAATAAGTATAGATTATATTTTATAAATAAATGTAACTTGATAGAATATCATTACCAATTTTATGTAATATTTTATAATTTATAGGATGATTAACACTCATGGTAGTAAAGAAGAAGGTAGTGAAATTTATATTATAGAAATATGTTCCCCTGAATCATATTCCCAATCTTAAAATTTTATATGGAAATTTTTTTTAAATAAAAGTTTGTACAGGCTAGATGTAAAACCTGTATAAACAAAAAAATGATAAAGGGTTAAACACAAATTTTGTGAAATATATTAAAGTATATTATTTATGTTTAGTTAAAAGGGGCATAGGTTATTTTAAAAATTCAAATTTACAATATTGTCTACCTTTAAACCAAAATGATAATAGATTTAAAGTAAATATTTTCCTATGATTTGAATATAGTGAGGAATGAGGCTTTTTGACATCAATATCACATCCATATTTTAAGAAGTTATGTTTGAGTAAGATAATAAAAAAAAAATTTCAAAATATTTTAATAAAAGAAGTCCTAAATGTAGTACCAGAGTCAGTCGCGTACGCAGCGGGGGGAGGAAGACAGGGGGACAAATCCACCCCCCCCCAAGCCAAAAAATGCAGATGCCGGATTCTATTTTTCAAAAATATTATTGTTAATATTCATTTATATTTGTTAATATTTATTCCTATCTCATATTATATTTAATTACATTTATTTATCACATTCATCTACTAAGTTATTTTATCAATTAATTTCGATTTCAAGTTTTCTTTGGCGTAATTTACCTATTATTTTCAAATTTTAGTGGCGTATTATTTATCTAAATTTCTAGTCAAATAATAATTATCTCTGAAACTCCTTGTCCAACAGGGAGAAAGATTGCAAGCTTGCCCAACGAGATCGAGTCTCCGCCATCAAGCAGTAACAGCTTTTATGGAGTTAAAAAAGCCGATTATTAATGCTATTGCTGAAATATCACAATGGCTTGAAAGAAATATTTCCTCAGAAGCAAGAAAATTATTGGATTCAATGCTTATTCCAATTTTTTTTTCTCATTGAATGTAATATTTAATTATACAACTATTTTATGTAATACTTTTCAAAAACATGACATTGACTTGATTAAGAAGATGAGAATAGCGGAGAGCATTTTATTAGAACTCAAGGAAATTTGGCTAATGTTGATGAAGAATTTTATGTTATTGTTGAGTCAAAAGCAAATACATGTTTAATATTTGCCCCCCTTGCAGCAAGCAAGCTCATCGTCAAAACATTAATATAGGATCAGTAGAAGAGTATTATAAAACAAATGGCCCCTCTCTTAGATACATTTATAACCCAAATAAATGAATGGTTTTTAATTCATCATGCAGCACTTACAAATCCGCAGATATTACTTCCACAAAAGCCTTTCCAACCTTTTTCAAATGGTGATGGAAAAAAAATTGTTAGATTTTTATCACGAAGATATTAAAATATATTATGATGCCTTATTAGCTGAATAACTATGATTAAAAGATTAACTATGGTTGATACAGTCCCAAAAAATGTTATGGATGCTTTACATTATTTCAAACACATTTTAGATTATATTCCCAATGTATTAAAATGGTTATATATATATTAGTAACTCTTCCCATTAGTAAACTAATGAGAGAACATTCTCTTTTTTAAGAAGAATAACAGAGCCCTGCAGGGGTACCATTTGCAGGGCGCGGCAGATTTTTTTAAAAAATTTTTCGGCCCGGGTTTTTTTTTAAAAAATTTTCAGGCCCAGCCCGACTTATTTGAAAATAAAATTTTCAGGCCCGGCCCGAATTTTTTTAAAATAAATTATATTTATTTTTGATTTTTATAGCTAATAATGGCGATTTCAAATATTTGGTTTTAAAATATACAGATCGGCCCGGATATTTTTTTTAAAAAAATTTTCAGGCCCAGCCTGGGTGTTTTTTTGAAATAAATTTCGGGCCCGGCCCGGCTATGTTTAAAAAAATTAAGTACCGTCCGGCTCGGAGGCCGGGCCTGCAAGTCTCTGAAAAGCATACCTATAAAATACAACTTCTGAAAGTAGAGGCATTTAACGCCAAGCAAGGATAGATAATTGAAAAATTAGCTCAAAGCATACAAAATACAATTATTCCTAAGAAACTTTTTGTGTATTAATTTATATTTCCAACATTTAAATTTTTTATACTTTATATATTTTAAAGGCTCAAAAAAATTCAAATTTCAATTTTGGATTATTTAAGTGATTCATATCGCGGTTATATTCACTTTACATTTTATAATTCTCATTTATTTTATAGTTTTTAAATGCCGGTTTAATATATAATATTTTTGTAATTCACATTAATTTAAAATTGTGTATTAGAAAAGTTATTAGTCCTAATAAATTTATGCTTAGTATTTTTAATTAACAATAATTATTCTTAAAAAATTTTATTATTCCCCCCCATACCAAATTCCTGTGTACGCGCCTGACCAGAGTATATAATCAAGCTCACGCTATAACACCAAGATTAACATCTAATGAAGAAAATGATAATATTTTTCTTTTGATGAAACAAATGTTGCTTAGTTCAATATTACAAAATTGAACTGGAAGTTTTAAATTATATTAAAGAAAGTCGAAATACATAATAAATGTTTAATTATTATCCTTCCATTAAGGAAATTTTTTATCCATATAATTAGTGTTGTTAAACGGCTCATTCGAGCCGATTTTTAAAAACGGCTAACTCAATATTTTAGCCAAAAAAATATTGCCTAAGCCTCGTGATTTCACTAATAGATGTCTAAACCATTGTGCCATCTCTGAGCAAAGTTTTCAGGCGTGCGTAATATTTTTCAGGATAAAATAACAAATTGGCCGTTTTAAAAATCGACTCAAATCGAGCCGTTTAACAACACTACATATAATACTGTAATACCTTCATCAGCTCCATTGAAAGGTTATTTAGTTTTGGTAGAATGTTAAACGCCATAAATTATTTGAAAAATTTGATTATATTATAAAATAATGAATGTATTTAAATACTTTTTTACAATACTAGTCTCCCTTTTCAATCTATGATAAATGGGCTAATTTAAATATTAAAATGCCTGATTATTATAATTAACTCATCATTGAATGTTTTATTAATTATTGTAAATATTCATTCTTATTATAATATGTATGTTTTTCACAAATAAATATTAAAAACTATATTTTATAAATGATTCTAAATTTGGTAATGAAAATTTAAAAGTATCTTGTATTTAAGATACTCTGATTAAAAAATGATACAAGTATCTTTTATCTTTTTGATATTTTGAAATATCTGTCTACGATTCATTTTTTCATAAAGAATCTGTATCTAGATTATTTTTCTGGAGGACCTGCCGAACATTACTTGTCTAAAAATCATAAATGGTTAATTTTAAACACTATATTTTCTCATAATTGCTTAGTATTAATTTTATAAGATATATATGATAGTAAAGTTACTATATCTTATTAAATGGTCAATATAGGTGTAAGAAATTTGCATATACTCATAATACTTGCAATAAGTGAACCTAAAGACCTCCAATAAAATTTATTTAGAAAAAAAATTAACCTAATACTGCTACCAACTCCCTTTATAAAAATCCTATGGCTCAAGATAATTGATATTAAAATTAAACCAAAAAATAAATGACAATTATATATTAAGAATATTAATGTTAAATTTAAAAACATTTTTTACCAATAAAGGAACACAAAAAAGAAAACTAAATGGTACCCCAGCTTTGCAATTGTAATTTTTATAGTATTCCTTAATTCACCTCGATTGTAAATGTCTGTAGGATCATATACACTTAAATTTCCTTTTGGAACAGTCAAATATCTAAATAGCAATATAACTTGATTGTTCTGTAATAATTATATAACTCACTTCCATAATAAATAACAAGGACATATTGCAGCAATTATTGACAAAAACCAATATTTTGAAAAAACTATAACAAGCGGTACTATAGCTGCAACTACAATTTCAGGTAATAAACACTGTTTTAAATTAAAAACATGATGATAATGAGCTAATCACTTTATTAAGGCGTTTACAGCATTGCATAGAATTCAAATAATCACATTCTAAATCTGTGAGAGTGATGATCTGATTTTAAAATGTTATATATTTATAATTAATACTAATGTATACAAAGTAAATCATCAAAAAAATCAATAAAGCGGAGAGAAAAACGCATATAATTGACAAAATTGTATCTTGGGCCATAAAACATATGTAGGGATAGTTGCATTATATAACAATCTGAGTGCTAGACTTCGACCAATTACATACTACCAGAAACTAGATCATCACGGTGGTGCTAGAGTTTTAACAGAAATCATTTATCTATTGTTCTTAAAAATACTATAAATATTTTTGATAATTTAACTTTAAAAATTATAACAACTTACATAATGAAAAACTATGTAAAAATAAAATTAGGTAAATTAAATCGGTTAATGATGCTTACTACAAAGTGATTGTATGGGAATATTCTAAATACCAACCTAATTTGCTAAATACCGACCAAAATTTATTAAAATGCAATAAGATCCTTATTATTTGATATATTATAATGGATTCACGTGGTCGAGTCCGGCCTCCTATATATCATCCCCCCAAAGATGGAACCACCAAGTTAGATTAAGAAAAAAAACATGACCATTCCCGGGATTCGAACCCGTGACCATGGGATCAGTAAGCCTAGCTCTTTCCTACTAGGCCATAGAGGCTTTATCATGATTTTTCAAATATATATTATAAATAAATTTGGTAGTGCCTATCCAAATGAAAAATAAAAACAATTCTTGATAGGTAGTACCTTAAGGTAGTAAGCATCATTAACCAATTAAATCGACAGTTGTTAAATACATTCAAGAAAATAATTTACGACCTTTCTTAGGCAACCATATATGTAATTATATCAACAATAAGAACCATTAATTTATAATAAAATAAATTATGTATTTAATCAACAAAGTTAAAAAAAATAGTTGATTTTTCTTATATCTATATACAGGGTTGGGCAAATTTTCAGAAAATTGTATTCGGATACAGATACAGATACTTTATAAAATTTTGTATTTAAGATACAAGATACTAGATACTTTAGAAAAATTTCAATAAGATATAAGATACAAGATACTTGTATTTATTTTTAAAAAAGTATCTAAGATACAAGATACTTTTTTAAAAAACTTTAAATAGTCAAAATCAAAATGTATAAAGCTTTATTTTCTTATCTATAATATAAATTTATAAAAAAATATTTAAAATAAATTGTAGAAAATAACAAATTTATTATAAAAGATAATGCGATATTCCATTTGATAATTATATAATTAGTAAATAATAATAAATCAGCATCATAAATCAGCATTATTTTTTAATATTATTAATTTTTCGTTCAATTTTTGACGATTTGGTCTATTAACCATATTAGCAAAGCTAAATAATCTTTCAACGGGGGCTGAGGAGGGTAATATTGTGTTATATTTAATAAATATTTCTTTTATATATTTACAACTATTTAACATATTTATACTCCGCTTGTCATCTTTCATATAATTTAGGACCTCTATTTCAATATCATTTATTGAATTATTAGAATTGGGTGTGGTACTTTTAAGGCAAAAGTAATCATCATCTTCATCAATTGAAGATTTTGTTGAAGTATTAATTTCAATATTATTTTTAAAAACAATTAAAACTTCATGTAATAACAAACCCTGAAGGTATTTTTTTTCTTCTTCACTATCAATCCAACGATTTTTAAAATAGGGATGAGAAATAGTTGCCAAAAATGCACTTTTAAAATTGTTATCAAAATCATATATATTTTTAAATCTTTTATTTAAATAATTTTCTATGGCAACAGCTAATGGTTTGCAAAATTGTAGATTGGTTTGAATTAAATTTGTAATTTTTTTTAACGACATTTAAAATTGGAGCTGATTCTCCATAATAGAAGTTGATTTCACTCTGTATTTTGTCAATCGCTATAGCCAATGGGGCCATTATATTGCAATATTCTTATAAATATTGAATTTCAATATCTCTTAATTTAGGAAATTCTAATTTTTGACATAATTTAGGAAGTTCGCCTTTAAATTTTAATAAACTATGAAGACTATCATACAAACTATTCCATCTAGTGCAACAAGGTGTAACTAATTGTTTTCCTAAAACTGCTTTGATAAGTTCTGCAGTTTTAGGCCTATTATTTGCATTCCATAGCTTAGTACATTTAGCTATTGCAGGATGATGAATTTTAGAAATGTTAGGAGATTCCTTAATAGCTCTCTCGACATCTGTTGTGGCAATTAGACTTATCGTATGGCACAAACAACGAATGTGTTGAAGCAATGTTATTGAGGCTTCTTTAGACCCTTAAATAAACAAATAAATAATTTTATTTGAATAATTTTTTTTACTAAATTTACAATATCATAATAAATTTTAAAGAAGTATTAAATAATACTTTCAATGATTTCGAATTCTATACATTCATCATCATTGATGTCAAAGTCATTCTCTACAGCTTCCATAAAACTCCTTGAAAGCTTTCTTAAAGTTAGAGCCGTTATCTGTAACAGTTGTTATAACTTTTTCGTCAATACTAAAGTCACGATAAATTTCTTTATTATGATCATCTTGAAGTACTTCAAAAAATTTGCCATTAAGTATGCTTAGTTTAAATTTATTGTTATAATTTTCGGTTGAATAATCATCTGAAGGCGAAGATAAATATATTATTCTATTTTCTTCTTCCATAATTTTAATAGACAGATATAAAACGATTCAAATATGGTAGTTCTAATTGTTAGCAAATTGCTATATGACGACCAACGTCATATATCAAAAATTATCTTAAAATATTTAAATTTTGATTAAATTTTTCATTAAAATCTTAAAACAATATCATTTTAAATTTTAATACTATTTAAATTAACCAATATAAATTTTTTTAAATCTGTATCTTTTTGAATACAAAGTTGGTTAAGATATAAATACTTTTAAATAATATGTATCTTAGATTTTTAAAAAGATACAAATACCCACGATACTGTCCAACCCTGTCTATATATGTAAAATGTAATTATATCATAAATATTAGATTTAGATTCTCATATATTATGCACTCAGAATAAATAAAAATATATTAAAAAATATTATTATTTTTTTTTACTAAATTTCGACAAAATGAATATACATAAATTAAAACAAAATTTCGCATTTGAGATGAGAAAAATGATATTTATTAATTAATGCATAAAATGAAAATATTCAACATAAGTTATAACAATCCATATTAATAATTTAATATAAAATACAAATACAAATATTTTCTTAAAAGGATTTAGTTCTGTTTCATCTAGTATCATATTGCTAATGCTAGGGTTAATATTTGCAAAATATTATATTGTAAGTAATATTATTTTATTCAAATAGAAGATATCAAGCTCTTGGACCACGTAAGGGTTTAGCTTAGTGCTATACAACAAAAATAAGGGTTGGTGTTTATATTAGATGGGGAGAAATATTTATTATACGCCAAACCAACTAAATTTGGTAAACTACGTGGTTCAGGTTAAGAACTGATATTAACCTCTGGAGCTTTAGGAGCCATCTTAGAGCTATGAAACAAAGATAAGGGTTAAAGTTATTGCAGTATTTGAATATGTTAATATAAAACATTTTTTATTTCCTATTTTTATCTTTCATATTATATTATATTGTAAAATTCGTGATCTTATTATTTTATTATATTTTCTTTTCAAATTAATATCATAAAATCTATAATGTATATAAAAGCTTTGTCACACTGTCACAATTTATAATATATATTTAAAAAATTGTTAATTTTGAAAAGCGTCTGTGGCCTAATCTGCAAGAGACTCGTTTACAAATCTTAAGGCAGGGATGCGAACCCGTCAAAATTTTAGCCCGAGTTCAGTTTGGGTTCGGTTTAAAGTAAAAAAATAGGTGGGTTCGGTTCGGGTTCGATTTAGGGAAATATTTTTGAATCCGGGTTTGCAGGGTTCACGGGTTTAAGAATTTTTGAATTGATAAAAAAAAATTATATATTTAAATCATAATTAAAAAACTTGACTTAAATTTGGTATAAAAAATTAATTTTTTAGTTAAAAATACAAAATAATGATTTTTAAATTAGATTTTTTTAAATTAACAATATCAAATATGATAATTTTAACTTTGATATGTTAACTTTCTAATCTTTGAGAATAAGTAAAAAATTAAAAATAAATGGCAAAAATGAATTTAATTGTTTAAAATTTATTAACATTCAATAAGAAACTTTGAGAATAAACTAAAAAAAATTTAAAAATGGCTTAAATGAATTAAGTTGTTAAAAATATATTAACACTTCACTTTATTGGAAATTCGAAAATTTTATAATATCTGAATTAAATTATTAATATTTGTTTTTACAATTATACAAATATCTTAATATATGATTTTAAGCAATTAAACCCGGTTGAACCCCAAATAAAATTCCTGGGTTCGGTTCTGGGTTTTGAAAATTTTATATTCAGGTTCGGTTCTGAATTATATTTTTTCGAAAACCTGGGTTTTCTTCTTCGGGTTCGGGTTTGGTTCGAATTCCTATCTTAAGGCATTGGGTTTGAATCCCAGCAAACATTTTTTTTTTCTTAATCCAACTTGGTATTTTTTTTTTAAATCTAACTTGATGGTTCCGTCCTTTGGGATGGGCATTAACTAAATTCCCATTGGGCTTAAAAATGTTGTTAGTCATTTGCAGACCTCTGAGGCAGACGCATATCATTTAGAAATGGATTCTTTGGCAGAGGAAAATCCATTATGATCTGCTGTTTCCGATGTCATCCTGGCTAAAGGTCTGCAATGGGCAAGTTTTAGTGCATCTGCCTGCTCATTTATTTCAAAATTTTGTTTAACTTGCATGTCCAATGTTTAAAAATTATCATATTGGTTGATTTGGCTCTTTATGTATTATTTTAATATTTTACATAAACTTAAAAATTATGAAATAAATCTATCTATCTATCTATCTATCTATCTATCTATCTATCTATCTATCTATCTATCTATCTATCTATCTATCTATCTATCTATCTATCTATCTATCTATCTATCTATCTATCTATCTATCTATCTATCTATCTATCTATCTATCTATCTATCTATCTATCTATCTATCTATCTATCTATCTATCTATCTATCTATCTATCTATCTATCTATCTATCTATCTATCTATCTAT